CGAATATGGTAAATCAACTACTCAGGCTTATGTGTACAATAGGTACAGAAGTGTATTAAGATAGACTGTGACCCACCCACCCCCATGTACTAATGTTCAGGAGCAAGCACTAAAAGTAAAGCATACTGCATATTAATTTGTTTAGCACAGATCAATCTTTAAATCTCCTGTCTGAACCATTAACTTTTCCAAGCTGGAAGTCCAGTGTTAGATTGGTGCAGGCACACTAGAGAAGAGTACTGTAGTTTGAAATGCAGATTTATTTTGTAAGATGCCATTCTGAGAGATCCCTATTCCCCGATATATGTACCCCCATGTTATAGAAGAGCCCTTTAATAAAGATTTATCATTCACTGAGTTCCAGTACCGAGGCTTAGTAAATGTAAATACTTTAGCTGAATTATTTCTCGATCATCGTCACTTTAATGCTGCTCACGTAGTAATATGACTTCTAATGAACAGATTAGCTACAGCAACATACAGAATTAACTTTACTCCATTTATAATGGGCTCATAATGAGGGCTCTGCTGTGCTTCATTGATTATGTGTACCATGTTATATCCAGGTGTTTATTTGTACTAAATGTCAGGGGTTACTAGAGCCTAAAATTACATTTCCTTGGAATTATAATGCTTACCATACGTGGCTAGTCACAAAAAAGTAGAGGTACTGAAAAGTTCCAGAGGACCGTAGTTTAAATACGTTTCAGCTATTCATAGTGAAAACGTGATTTTTATTTCCTCATAAGCAGAACATCGTAGTTTTTAAAAGGCCTCTTTAAGGAAAGTAAGACCAGAGTTTTGAGTATGGGGACAGTGGAAACAACAACCGGACAGAGCAAAGCAAAGAAGCTGAACACCCATCTAGGCACATGTCACAGTGAAAAGAGCAATATTGAAAGAAGGAAAATAAGAGGTGTAGAAGTTACAAAAGAGCTTAAAGAATATAGCCTATGTCCATAGTGGGGCTCAGACATTTAATGAGCTCTGTGTTAAACTCACTTTAAGCACTGGTCCATTTAAACTGATCTATGGCCTACTTTCGCTAATGTGTACAAGGCCAAAAGCACGTTAAAAATGTATAGTATGCTGCTTTCAAATAGGGTCCTCACCCAACTTGCCCCATTCTGCTCTGCATAGCCAGACTTAGAAATCCCTTTAGCCGTTGTTTATATTTCACTGGGGGCTAGGAACCTGGGATCACACTCTGCTAGGAATTGTACAAATGCAGAACAAAACAATGGTCCGTGTCCCAAACAGCTTACAGTCTTAGGACCCTATGCCTTGATTTGGTTTTAAAGGTCAGTGCGCTCAGCACAAACGGAGATGCAGCAATACACCAATAAGAGCTTAATCTGCGGATGGATACTAGTTTGTGCATCATGTATGTACAAGAGCTGTGCTAACCAGCCAGGTACCTGGACCTGTTTGACTACAACAGGATTCAAAAAAGAGCTAGATAAGTTCATGGAGGATAGGTCCATCGATGGCTATTAGTCAGAATAGACAGGAATGGTGTCCCTAGCCTGTTTGCTAGAAGCTAGGAATGGGTGATGGGATGGATCACTTGATGATTACCTGTTCTGTTCATTCCCTCTGAAGCATTGGCCACTGTTGGAAAACCAAATACCGGGCTAGATGGACCTTTGGTCTGACCTAGTAAGGCCGTTTTTATGTTCTTAGAAAGTATATACTGCACTAGATACTCTACTGGGAGCCTTCTTGTGCTTCAGTGGCATGAAGTTGCATTTTAGATTGTGGTAGGCTGAATTTGTATTACGGAGTCCAATGTTCATGTCAGAGTAACATCCAAGCTAATTGTTATCGTAACACAAATTGTCAGTGTTTGGGGTTATTGGCATTTTGATAGCTTTTAGCCTGAATAGCTTGACAGCTTAAGTAAACTCATCTTGTTATATTTGAGGTTTAAGGCAGAGTACTTTCAAAGCCTTCCGGAAGGGATGTTGCTGACTCCTGTACTGCTGTCCAAAGACAGAGGCAAGCTGTATGTCACAAAGGATCTTTTCTGAGGACCTTCAATGTGGACATGTGCAGTTTAGTTCAGGGAGGCTGCTTCCTGCATATGGAGCCCTATGGAAGAAGGTCTTTGGGTGATTGTGGGGAAAACTGACAAGTGGGTGCATGAGGGTGAGAACTGGAATATGCCTCTCTTACTGCTCTGTGCATGTTGCCTTAAACACTTTTGGACAGCATTTTATGGTATATATTCAATTAATTTCTGAGGATTATGCAAAGTACTAATGCAGCAAAGCCATTGATCTCATATTACATGTAAGTCATGCACAAAGTGGAAAACCAGCTCTGATTTTATATTTTTAAAACTTTCAGTGTAAATGTGTAAGCAAAAAAGTTCACAGCTCTACCTCTTTGTGCATGATTTCAGCAGGCATTTGTATGCTCTAGCATTGGATGCATAGGGTCACATAGAAACAAGCAGCGTAGCTTTTCCTATAAAATCCACAGTGATACATCTCTAAGGGGTGGGTCAAGCCTCTGAAGTATATACACTCTTAAAATCCCACAGAGCAATTGGCACCCTGTTTAGCCCTCATTATCTCTGAATGATCTAGTACTTGTTTACATACATAAAATCAGTATTCTCAGTTTTAGGTTACTGGATGCCTCTTCGCCTCTATTGACACTTCAGGCAGGGCCGATGCAAGGAAGTTTCGTGCCCTAGGTGAAACTTCCACTTTGCGCCACCCCACCACAGCCCTGCGGCAGCTCCCAGCCCCCCCCTCCACCCTGAGGTGCCCCCCCACGCGGCAGCTCCCCTCCCCGGGGAGCCGTGCGGCAGCTCCCCACCCCGGCTCACCTCTGCTCCGCCTCCTCCCTGAGCATGCCGCCCCCGCTCTAATTCTCCTCCCCCCCCCAGGCTTGCGGCGCCAAACAGCTGATTGGCGCCACAAGCCTCGGAGGCGGGAGAAATGGAGCGGCTGCCGCACGTGTTAGCGCACTGCCGGCAGCCCAGCCCAGGAACGCTGTAAAAAAAAATTGGGGGCACCGCTTTTTGGTGCCCCCAAATCTTGGCGCCCTAGGCAACCGCCTAGTTTGCCTTAATGGTAGCACCGGCCTGACTTCAGGGGCCAGCATTAGCGAAGGCCACATTGGGCTTGAATGGTGCATACAAAAAGGAAATATTGCCAAGTGCTGGGGTTCAAATCCACTCCTGTGTCTGTCAGTAAACACTATCGTGGTGTGTTCTGCTGTTCCAGGGAGAAGCTGCGAGAGGACTGAAGCAGGATAAATGGACCATGGTGGTGCTGTATGTAGCACAACTGAGGTTGGGAACAAAGATGAACCTTTGGAGATTTGGTTCTTACTATTCCCTTAGAATGATGTCTGGGTGGGATCGAGGAGGAAGGAGGGATGTTTCCAGGAGAGAATGTCCCTTGAGCATCAGTCTGCCTCCTTCTAGTGGGGATAGAGAGAAGCAGGGGCCTTCCATTTCTGGAGGGCAGGGGAGTTGATGGGGATGCTTTTTGGTGGGAGGGTGTATCAGTTGGGATTTAGCTCATAAATTGTAGAGATACATGTAACAAGAAACACCAATAACACTTTCTGGGACTGACCTAGAAGAGGTTTGATATTTCACATCTC